GGATCGATGCCCGTCCGGCCCTGTTCCACATGTCTTCTTCCCGTTTGGCCAGCAGTTCCCATTGGCCACCCTGTTTAGTGTTACCCTAGTGTGTTTCCCTGCTCCCTGGGCCACCGTGTGGCTTTACAGGGGATCAATGATCAGATCAGCTATCATCTAGATTCCCTTTCTGGTGTGGGTTCCACTAGTTGTTATTTAACATTTGTTATTTTATGTTTTCTTGGTTCATCATGTGTTTGTATGTTTCAGTTACAATTTCTTGTTTTTTGCTCCCTGTTCTTTGTTTGTTCAGTTTTCCTTGTTTTAGTTTCCCTTCATGTTTGTATTTTTTTCTGTATCTCTTTGTTGATTGCCCCCACCTCTTCCTCGTTGCCCTGAATCCTTAATACTTGGTTATGGTTCTCACCTGTCCCTCATCTAGTTTTGTTATCATTGTATTTAAGTACCTGCCATTGTTCTGTTCCTTAATTGGTTATTGTGTAGAGTGTTTCTTTCTGTGTTTTTAGTGTTCTGCTATTTGCTTGTTCCCCATATATCCTATTGCCCATGTCTTAGTTGTATTTTTAGCGTTAATTTACTTTGTGGTGAGTTAAAGTTTAGGTCTTGTTTTTGCCTACTTGTTATGACCCTGTGTGGTCCTTTTGTTTTCTAGTTGGTTTTCTTTGTCTATTGATAATGCATTCACCTTTACTGAGAGCCGATATGTGTATCGTCCCTCCTTTGTCATGCCCCACTGTAGCACAAAAGTTTGGCTATAGCAGGCCGACCATGAATATTGATTCAGTAGAGCTCCCAACTAACCGACTAACAGTTTTGGTGGAAACAGGTGAATCAGGGTCCGCGTTTAATTCTGCAGTGAGTTGGGCAGCTGTGGTTTTATGTTTTTTGGATACAATCCGGGTTAATGCCCAGACATCCCTTTCTGAGTGCAATCTCTTGCAGCTGCAGGTACTTCTGCTGGATGTGGTCTGTCTTTCGTGGTGGTATGCCAATATTTCCCTCGATACAGTGGCTCTCAATAAACCACAAATGTTTACTGTTCTGGTCACAGATGCTCCAGCAAGATGCATACCAACAATTTGTCCTCTTTTGAACTCTGATATGCTTCCCATTATGTTGTGTGGATTGCAACACTTCATGCACAGCTGTGCTATTGCTCTGCTAATTCAACCTTCACATTCTGCTCTTACTGATGGAATGTGCAATCAGTGAAGTCTGCCCACCAGGCTGCACATATATAAGCATGAAACCTCAAACACTATTGGCCAGTGTTTCCATTTCATTTTCCAGTCCCTGCACACGATGCTTTTGAATGTTCTGTGAATGCATTATGAAGGTGCATTAAATGTTATATGAATGCATTATGAAGGTGCATTAAATGTTATATGAATGCATTATACTGGCACTATGAAAGTGCAGTTAATGTAAAGCGTTACTGCGCATTCCTATCATTCCTAAGTTATTTGCTAGCTAAATATAGCCACTTCCTCATTATAGTTTGACTGTTACAGTTAAGGTGGGCAGAAGGTTACAATTTTTAAGTAAATCTGGAAGTGGTATTGTTGTTTAATGAAAAAAGGCATTTAGTAGCATAACGGTTCATGGGTCATCACCAGTTAGCCGATTCAGAGCTGATGTCAGGAAATTTCTGGAAATACACTCACATTTTGAATTCCTGCTTTGTGACTATATATCCTGTCACTTAGTTTGCATTCCACAGCAGTTCTTAAGGGTAAAGAATGACTTTGGTGTGTTGAGAGACCTCTAGCTTGCATACTACAGCAGGACTGTCTCAGTGCTTAACCTTTTTCGTTTCTCCGTTATGCTGTTTGCTCTAAACCCTGACAGGAAGCACATATAAATCAAAATGAGACTTCATGTCAGCGTCACCACTTTGGCCACCAAGCTCCGCAGTCCAAGGAACTTGGGAAACGGCATCAGAAGGGGTCTGTTCCCTCAGTGGTTGCCTCCATAGCAGAAGTGAACCAAGCTCAAGGCAAACGGCTGCTGGGCTCTTTTAGAACCTGCCAAGATGGACCAGAGAAGGATCCTAACTGACCGGATCCTATCCTGACTGCCCCTTAATATCACAATGTTGCCACCATACCATCAGCTAGTACACGAATTGAAATTGCTCCCCAAAACAGCACTTCTAAGCAGAAGTGCACTCCTTTGTAAGTACCGTTGTCAAACCTTTCTTAGAACATCCGGAGATATCAAGGCAAATTCTATGAACAAAAACACAGCAGGAAACCTCATGACCTGATCATAACTCAATAACCCTACAGGCATATACTGTATAGCCAAGCTACTATCTTTGTTGGTAAATTCTGGAAAAACACTTACAGCTATGTGTAGGAATGGTCTTATTGCTGTGGTACTAATGTTACTTGCATGCTCAGGCATAAATCTCCAGCGTGTTCCTCCCTTTTTAAATGATCATGTGATCATAGCTGGAGAAGGTCTTCTCAGCGACACGCTAGCTAAACGTAGCCCAGAGCTAGCGATTTTTCTCAGTGTAATTTTAAGGCTGATTTTTATCTCTGGTTCAGCCTGTGTTCACAAAGCCATACGAGAGCAGGATTCTGACGTGTATTTTGTTCTCCCTGCTGTTTAAGAAGCAGGTTGGCTAATGTGGTCCTGAGGGCCTAAGAGGCGAGAGGTGGGGGACTCACTTCCCACCCAGATGATGTCTATGTTTAATGTTAAAACACGGTTGGGAACCAGAATCTGACAGGAATTAATTCCGTTAAATGAAAACCATGGTGGAGCATCAGCTTTCATGAAACTGTAGGTTACGGGGCATAAATTACACTGATTTCCTGAGGGTGGATTAAATTATGTCTCAACAGTGTCCAGGGTTTGAATATTCAGAGACTGCATTTCCATTCCAAATGCTGTGCTTTAGAGATAGTGGCTATCACACAGCAGTGATTGCATGTTTCACTTAATGAAAAAAGCAAGCGTCACATCTGTGTATGGAAGTTAGGACCAGCTTCGGGGAAATGAGTCCTTTGTGAATGACAATGGGTATAAGTAAATAGAGTAAAACTGACCATACATAAAGTATGACTGACGTTACTGGGCTAAATACTGTATAAACTTTTTTCGTCTCCCATTGCATTTGTTAGCAAACACTTTTGTCCAAGTCAGCATGCAGATGAGAACCGGAGAGCAGGGGTCAGAGGGTCAGAGAGTATCCCTAGAGCAGTTGTGGTTAAGGACCTTACTCAAGGATAGGATCACTGTGTCAACTTCAGAATTCAAACCCATGGCCTACAGAAAATGGGGATAGATCCCTAACCCACTAACAAAGTATATATTTGTATAATTTTGTAAAGAGTTAACTAACTCATTAACAGGATGAACTGTTCCTATTTGATAGCAACATTTTCAGTATCTTGTACGTTTTTGCCAGATGTTATGTCTATAAAAAAACAGTATATTAATATGTTCATGTTAGTGGAAGCAGTTTTAAAAATCAGTGTAAATCAACTTTAACCTGGTTGCTACAGTATGTATATCTTTTGCTATCTACAACTGATAAACAACAAATAAAATGCTCACTACAGCCATTTTCATTTTCCAATTGTACAACTAGTGACCGTTAACCAAACCACAGAGCATCCGAGTGAAATTAATGATGGGACAGTAATTTGTTTAGCATCTCGTTCATTATTTTTTGTTGTTTTCCACCATCATACAGTACATCAGAAACCAAACAAATCCTCTGTCCAGCTCTTGCTATCTCTAAGGTGTTTTCAAAATTGTTTTAATTGTAACTGTATAGTGAATTAATCCCCTAATAACGCCAGTTGAATGATTGAAAACCCGACAATTACGTCAAATTGCCACTTGACATGCTGATGGCTATTGGCCCAGGATGTCCGCAAATCTGTCTCCATGGTGAAGGCAGGCAATTAGCTGAATGTGCATCGTCTGCGGAGAGGTAACCGAAAGAGTAAGAAGTACCAATGAAAATACAAAAAAGCAACAGCTGAGTGCACTTCCTAAAAAATTCACTTGTGTTCTTTAGCGTGAAGGGTCCCGCTTCGAGGAGACCAATTTTACTTTCTGTTGAGCAGTGGAAAGCTGGACCCCATCCAGAAGCAGGGATAATTTGAACTGACAGAGTAACCTCCTTCATATACAAATGACGCCAGTCTCACAGAATAGTAATAAGGTCAAACACTCAAAGCTTGTGCATTCCTGTCCCTGCCAGCAAACTGCCCCAGACTATTCCGAGGAGAAGAGGGTGTTTAACCTCTGCTTGCTTTGAACTGACATATTAGCAATAATCAGGCCTTTAGGTCCACATTTCACTGACATTAGGGATCGTCTGAGTCTGGCAGATATTATCAAAGTTCTGCCCCAGGATTCTACCAGTTATGCAAAGTAATGAGAGAATCCCACCAGTCATAACATTTTAAGCTCATTTAATAACTAAAATGTAATGATGAATGAATGACAAATGTAAAACTAACAATATGAACCATATTCTTTAAGTATATTACTTATTAGACATAAAATGCAATTTCTAATTATGAAAAAAAATACATGTTTTTATGCCGCAAACTTTCCCCAGACATTTGCCTTAAGTCATTTCGTTGTTTTATTCTACCTTAACGCTTCCCTGTAGCTTGTTTAAAAAGCAGTATTATACAGGACGCTTATAGTGGATTAAATATTTTTTTTTTTGAATATCATTGTTTATTTTTTCAGTACTTGTTAATTAGTCTTTAACTTCTCGGTAGCGTCCTCAAACCGAGCATTTTTAAAGTAACACAATGGCATACATGATAACTTTTTCATTATGTAACATCATAACGCCTCATGCACACAGTATCAGCTTTCACCTTGCGAACTCTTCGACATTAATAAGACAGATACAGTACGTGAATCAAACTTTTGCAACAATTATGAATTCACGCTGCAAAATGGGGGTGCAATTGTTTGCCAATGGCATAAAAGATAAGGATGCCAGTCACGGTAGCACATACCGTTTAGCTGGTTGTAGACCACATCCTCCAGATGCTCCAGCCTCTGAAGTATTGACTGCCGGTCGAGCAGGCTGCTAACTTTGCCGGTCCTGCTGCGAAGTCGGTCCGATGCCCTTCCGACGTGCAGCAGCTCCTCGGAGCGGTCCTGAATCCTGCAGTACACCGAGAACAGGATGATCCCCACGAAGACCAAGATGTTGACGGTCAGCAGAGTTTTGATTTTGCGTGCCACAGCCATGAACCCGCGGAGGAGCGCTCAGACCGGGGACACGGGGCCGCGCAGGGCACGCGGTGCCGACTGCATGGGCGGCGGTGCTGATGCTGCGTCCCCGGAACGAAGCGGAGCGCTCCTAGGACACCGGCAGCGCTGTGAGCTGTCCTTTCAGCACCACGGTGAAGCTCTGCGTTTTTCTTCCGATCGATGTGGTACCGAGGGGTCTCCCGGACCCCAGCAAGACGATTCCTCTAGGAAAAGTTCAGTGTTGACGGAAATAAAGATCTGCGACTCCTTCGCTATTTGCACGGAACAGCATATGACGGGTCCGCACGCTGTGAGAATTGTGCCGTGTCTAAGCGGACATCTCCCGACTATCCCTGCCTGATCTCAGGGTGATCGGCCGGGGACGGTTCTGCATGTGCCCGTGAGGCGACGAAATCCGGCACATGTGGCTGGTTTGCGGTGTCAGTCCTCGGGGAAGCGTCGCATCATGTCCGGATCCGACCAGAAAACGGCCGCTGAGCGCTGAAACTCCGCCGTCACACGGACCGCCTCAGTGCTGATCCCGGCATAACGTTACCCTGTCCGACGCTCTTCCGCTTCTTCGGCTTTAAACGACCGCAGGCGGACGCGAATGAGACGCTGAAGTTGAAAAAGATGCTGCCTTTAACGCTGCTGATGTTCGCCGCTTTCTGCATGGTCCGCCGACCTCGTCCTTTATCAAGCTCCCCCTCGGTCTCCTCGTCCCACCCTCCACCCCCCTCACTTTCTCTCTCTCTCCCCTTCTCTCCCTCTCCCCCCAATCATCCACCCTCTGTCTCTGCCACTATCTATGTCTCCCTCTCTCTCCCCCCACCTCCCTCGGACTCCTGCTCTCCCCCTCCCTCCTTCTCTATCTCTCCCTTCCTCTCAGTTTCTTTGGCAGAAGCCATACAGAGGTTTTGCCATACTCTGAAACTGAGGGGCACATTTATATACGTACTGTTGAGTAAAAGTATATGAAGACAATGGAGGACACATCCAACGTGTGCCTGCGAATATTCCAGTTAAAATATCCATGCAGCAAAATGAACTCGTCATGCATTTAATCAGCATATAGCATCAGGGAGTATTTTAAGTCCTAGGCAGTGTTATCATTAGTGTCCAACTCTTACCAACTCTTACTTTTTTGCTTGATTTGATTTGGCAGGTAATTTGCCGTGTTTCCTAAAATGGCCATAAAATAGTCAGACAAGCATCATTTCAGGACTGGCTGCTGCAAGGTGAGCTACCGCATTATAGTCTAGAACGAGGCAAAATGTTTGTATCCGCGGAGACTTCTTCCATCTTTGCTATGGGTTTGACAAAGCCCAGAATAACAACAGAATGCATTACAAAAGGCAGTGTGGGGGAGGGCGGAAATGTCGACCACCGTCTAATCCCCAAGCAGATTTTATTTCAGCATTAATTACAAGGTTATGAAGGATGTATGTCAGAAGGACTGTTGTATGAATTAAGAACTAATAAGTGAGTAAAAATTTGCCATGTGAGGTAGATGAGGGTAGTTGGTTTCCTGTGGCACATTTCCTCTGTATCTGTTTCTGCAAATTTCATCTTGTGTTTCCTAAGTCTGGGGCTCCCGTCCCAGAGTCACATGCCGACGTCTTTGCATGTGTCTGGTTTGTTTGAAGTCTGGTGGAGTGGGGCAGATAAAAAATCTGTACAAGAAAAGCAGGGAAAAGAAGCAAACAGGAGATTGCCCACAGCACTGAGAGGGATGGTCACCAGGTATGGTTACTGAGTCAGGAAGTATAAGACAGGTTAACACCTCGTCCAGTAGAGGGAGCATTTCCATAAGAAGTGTGGATGCTGGACAAGGCATGAAGCAATCAGTGTTAGGGGGCAGAACTTCACTGTCACGTGTTGATTGGACCAAACTCTTGCTTTGACAGGTGACCACTGTCCGTGGTGCTACAGCTCATGCATGGTCACCCTTCATCTGCTGGGGTCCCAGAGGGACCTTCCTGGCATTTCCAGCTGAGGACGGATTGTGATGAGATTGATTGTAACCCAAACACATGGCTTTTTTCTATCTACACTAACCGTCCATCCATATTCCAACTGCATATGCAGCACTTGGTCTTAGGGGGCAGCATGGAGCACAAGGCTGGACAGGATGCCGGTCCATTGCACACATTCAGACGCAACCACACAATAGAGATGCATTCATTGTCACTGTGGCAAAAAGAGACCAAAAGAGGCTAGATGGCTGGGAGAGGCTGTGAAAAGAGAAGAACAAGTATGGATTTAATTAGCATGGCCCTCACAGGGTCTCACATTTCCGTCTGCATGGTGCCTGGTTGCTTGACTTCCAGTCGGTCACAGGCTGTTCCTCACAATAGGACCAACTCTTGACATCTAGAGTTTTCAGCCCAGTTATTCTGCAGCTTTCAGTGGGGACATTCCAATAATAACACTTTGCTAAACGCTGTGTGGAACAGATCCAGGAAAACACTCAGCTGGTTGCCCATGGCTACCAACCCATCCTAATTGGATGTCAACAATACATGGAGTCTATATAAAAATATATAAATACTATCATTTTTAACTTTCAAAATGATGAACAGTAAAATTAACAAAGCTTTTGGACCCAATTAGAGCTAATTTCAATAATTCTATTTCCACCATTGTCAAGTTTTCAAGCTAAGTACTTTTATGGAAAAAAAAAAAATACTAAATGTGCACATCAGTGTTTACAAGAAAAACCAGTGGAACAGAACTGAATTGCCAGTATGACACTGGAAAGTTTCAAAGGGTATATTGTAGGATAAACATTTGTAAAATCTGTAGCTTATTTTTTGTTCTTTTCTTTGCTGGGTTTGAACATGTATAGGGGATGATTTAATTAACAGTGCAATGCATAATCTTGCATCAGAGTTGCACCGAGTCCCGGATGCAGGGGGAATAAGGTTAAGGTATGATGAATCCAGCATCATCAGTCTTGTCTCAGGTGTGTGTGTATTTTTGGAGCTGTTATTCACTCTTTATTTAGTTTTTATCTAAAGTAGCATACAATTACGACAGCAGGATCAGCCAGTCCCTGGTGCAGTTCGGGATAAGACCATTACTCAAGGTCCCAATGGTGAAATCACTCTGCTGACCCTGGGATTTGAACCTATCAATATACGATCCCAGACCCTAAGCTGCAGAATCGCATGCAGTTATTTAATAGTTTTTTTCAAGCTCTGAATTGCTCAGGATCATTGTAGCTTCCCGCGCTTTCTGCAGTCCTCCCCACGCTTTCTGCAGTCCGCCCCGCGCTTTCTGCAATCCGCCCCGCGCTTTCTGCAGTCCTCCCCGCGCTTTCTGCAGTCCGCCCCGCGCTTTCTGCAATCCGCCCCGCGCTTTCTGCGGTCCTCCCCGCGCTTTCTGCAGTCCGCCCCACGCTTTCTGCAATCCGCCCCGCGCTTTCTGCAGTCTCCGTCTTCTGCATTTCCAAAAACGGCGCTGTTTTGACCACCAGGCCTTCAGTGGGATGAGAAACCGATAAGCGCCATGGATAGTTACCGACTAATAGGACAGACTCGGCCGGGGAGAAGAAGTCGAGGCGAAATGAGAATGAGCTCGTAGGCGCTTCTCGAGGGAGCCCGTCTGAGGCCGCCCGAGTTAAAGCAGTGGAGAAATCTACAGATCAGAGGGATCTTAAGTAACGCCATCGAAGAACTGGTTTAAATTTCCTCCCACGGGCTGCAAGCACATTTCACAACCTGGCAAATAGAAGCACAACTGCAGAGAGCATGGTAATTTATGTAATCTGTAATTGTAGAAAGACACACTGCAGATGGTGGGTTAATTTTCAATCCTAGAGGACACAGATGAGAAAAATGATTGTAGAGGTGCCATAGCTGTGTCTTCCTGATCCAAAATGTCAGCTGTCTGTGAGGAGCACCACTGGCTCACTGGGACACCATGGATTTGATAGGGTACTGATGTCATCCCCAGTTACGGGCCACGTCATGGCAGTTATGGTCCGGTGATCATTCAAAGTAGATGCATTATTGCATTGAGAAACCATAGTATTTCTAGTATAGTATCATTTACATGTTTTAAGGACATTGTAATGTTTTTCAATCAGCATAAACACAAATGGGGCAGCATGGCCTCTCAGTGGATGCCACCATTACCTCACATCTCCAGGGTCAAGGGTTTAAATCCCATATCCGCATTGTTTATAGCGTTTGAATCTTCTGCAGGGTTTTTATATGCTTTATTCTTCTAATGCATTGTCTATGAAGTAATTGTTCTATAGCAGCACTACAGTAAATAACTTTATCAGCATAATAATTAATCATATGTAATCAAAAACACAGCCTGGAACAATTATATAAGTGTCACACCATGGACCGGGGAAGCAGAAGCAGGGAGACGGAGAATTGGGAAATACGGGGTTTAATCAAAAGGATCAGGGGCGACAGAACAGGCACAAACTCAAAATGACTTTAAGACTTCAATGACAGGACTAGGGAAACGGATACTTTGACACGGAGTTAAATACACAGGACTAATGAAAACAACTCAATACAGCTGATGAAACGGGGATTCCACACGAGGTTAATGAGGGGGCGTGGCACAGGAGGATTGAACAAGCAGGGCGTGACCATAAGAACCTAGAGCAAGATCTTCCTTCTGGGTGAATGATGTTTCAGAGGCTGTAACATTTACCTGCCCTGTGAAACATGTTTTTCTCCTGCATTATTCTGATTGCCTGCCAAGAAAACAGGCCGTGTGATTTCATGCAACTTACTGCAAATAAATTATGGCTGAGCTTAGCGGTCCTATATATACTTTATCTTAATTAGAGGGACCCAAAAGTAGGCCATCAAAATCGTTGTCATTTCTTCCCAGACAAATAACAGCTACAATGATTCACTATACACTGAGTGTCATTTTAACTTCTACACAAAACCTTGTGCTCCTATATTTAAACCTAGGAACAGCACATGTTTATTTAAGGAAAAATGTATCTGTCAGTCAAAGGTTCATATAATCAATTAGTCACCCTTGTCATGCTTTAGTCCTGCATCCTTCTTGTAGGATTTCAATGAGCTCATTTCATGAGCAGGATTCTGGACTAAATTCTTGATATCAGAACCTGTGTTCGCCAGTTGGGAGTGATTATGTGTGCACCTCACATTGATACGTGTTACAATGAGGCATCACGAAGGAGGGGGCGATCCAAAGAGCAGCTCCAACAAAACGGGTTTATTAGCAAACAAAAAAAACAAAGGGGAAACCACAAAATAAAGGGACCGCGAGGGGTCAAAAACAAACAGGAAAAATAAAGAACAAACTAAAGAAACCACAAAATTAACACAACTAGGGAATGGTGCAAAACAGGGAGCAGCACAAGGAAACAACCACAGTTACTAACACACGGCAACTTCTACAATGACTGACCTAGGAAATGAACAAAGGCAGGCGCACTTAACTGCACAGATAACAAGGACTGACAAGGGGTAGGTGTGGACCATAACAAAATCGCTAAATGTTAAAATCAATTAATCAATAAAGGTGCAGGACAACAAGCAACAAGTGGAATAAATTACAAGTCTAGGAGGTAGAGAACATTGGGGGCAACACTAGGAAAGACTAGGAAGATAAGCACGAGCAGAGCAGCATTATCAGGCACAAGCAGGATAAACCTTAAAAAGGGACACAAAGCTAAAAAATAACAGACACTAAGGAAACA